TCGAGGCATAATATTGATCGGTTCTCACTCTGCAAGGTCGAAATCAATGTCAACTATGCACGGTGGCTGAAACAACTATCTTCGTTCTGCACGGCATGGTAGTATCTGCAGGTCAGATTGAATGACATCATGTTGTGTGCCTATCTCTGAAAGTTATATTAAGCCAAGTCAGCAGGACATCCAGTGCATAACTGCAATAACTAAGATACCCAGGATGTGACGATCCAAGGCTTGTCATTCTTGGTTATTGAAAACCACCAATGAAAGCACCTCGCTCTCAGAGGATAGGCCGAATGTCAGCTTGGATGAGGTGATATGGGGAAGTTGCCAACGTGCTTCGTTGTCTGAGTTGGTTCTGAGCGCAACCAACCGATATTCGAGTCATCGCGATGGTTGTCTCGCCGCGGTCCACGATCATACCCCGCAATATTTACTACTACGTTGTTGATCACGGTCAGCTTTGTGCTAGCTAGACTATGGATACTTGCTGGCTATATGGTGCTTCGAGAGCTAACAACATTCACAACGTCCCGCGGATGGTTCAACAAGTTACAAGACAGTAAAGTGATCGGAGTTCCAGTCAGGTCGTGACTGCTATGACCTGGGGTTAAGGACCGCGAGGGCACCGTTGTCAACAGATTTGAAGAAAAGAGAGCTAGATGCAATGCACCAGAAGAAAAAATCAGGGAAATGAACTCCGAGAAGCAAAACGGCTTGGGACGCAGTCGCATTGACTGCTCCCCAACCCGCCCAGTCTCCCTCTCGCATCTTCACAGTAGTAAATGGGTGGAGACGAAGAGGGACTGTTGTCTAACCCGCCTCATACTCGTTTCGTTGAAATAATTGACAGGAGAAACGAGCAGAGGCGGACTCGAACCGGGGTGCAGGAGTGCAGACTACTGACGCGCAGAAGTTGTGATTCAGATATGTGAATCTACAGCTTCTGCAGGCGTTCTGCCGCTGCACTACCGACCCCGGTTGGTTGACTGGAGAAGATAACGCGGGCCCATCTGTTGCATGGTGGACTGCCTAAAAGGGTAAGGCTGCTTGGACGCTTGGGTGCCTGAGAAGCAGGGCATCTTGCTATGAGATCCCTTGCTGTAGCATAGCAGAGGTCGATTTGAAGTTTGCCGGGGAGATACACAAGCAAGCGCGAGTGCATACTGCTCACTTTCTTCATTGATAATGGCCCTGATATAGCATCACATGCGATCTGGTTGGGAGCTTGGCCCCTAAAGAAGTATGCAATATCTCTAGAGAACTAAAAGAACAAGCCTAGAAGCCTAAAAACTCAGGATGCATACGGAATTACTGATAGCCTGAAATGGAAGTATCTCCGTCTGACGAACCATCGTGACAAACCTCCACAAGGCCCCATATGATTTTCCATCAACCATAAACAACGACCCACTGATAAACACTCATCACAATACCATTGCATCACCATCACCACCAACAAATGCCGTCTTCTGCAGCTCTCATGGTACCTTTTTTGAAGGAAGCGGGGAATGAACGACCAGGTACCCAATCAAGTATAGCAGCGACGGGATGGCAGTGTGACGACGGCAACAAGCGATGCTACCCTCTGCTGCATTCCTGTTGATACGAGGTCATTTCCTGTTCCTATGTGGCCTTTGCTTGAACTCTATCAGCCTGGCCATTCGGAGAATAACAATGTGATTCGATTGATAAGAAGACGGCGACTCCCGCGGGAAAAAAGCAAGAAGCAGAAACCTACTTTTCTGATGTCATCACAAACACAACCCGCGTAACCTGAGCTTGGACTGTCCGCACAGTTTCGTCCGCAAACATGGCGAACTTCAGACTGGGAGTGGCATTGGCCGGGACTCTTGTGACGGCTCTTGTACTGTTGCAGCTGCTGTCTATTGTGCAGACCTACAATTCACCGCCCAGCTTCAGCTTTGTTGACAAGGGATCGCGATGGGAGCACAGGGCGGCAGATACGGTCTCTGATGATAGCGTTTTTCTGCTGGGGGCTGGAAAGGCAGACATCACTGGGTACTGATAATTATATTTTGCTTATGGATGGACATCCCGCTGACTCTATGGTGATAGCCCGGTGGTGGAGGTAGCCCTCAGCGGATATGCTATGCTGGATCAGATTGGCACAGGCCTGCGACAGAGAATTTATTCCCGCTCCTTCATCTTTGCAAATCCAAATCAACCAGACGACACCTTTATTTACATCGTCATCGATGCGGTGACAGGTGACACTGCCGTGCGGAATGGTGTCCTCCAGGCGCTCGCGAATCTGGGAGGTGATTATGCGCGCTACGGCGAGCGCAATGTCGCATTGACTGGGACGCACTCTCATTCAGGGCCTGGCGCCTGGAACAACTATCTACTTCCGCAGATCCCTAGCAAGGGGTTCGATAAGCAGAGCTATCAGGCTATCGTTGACGGCGTTGTCCTCTCCATCCAACGCGCTCATGAAAGCTTGGCCCCCGGTCGCTTGAGCTTCGGCTCCATCGATATCGAGAATGCAAACATCAACCGGAGCCCTTATTCATATGACGCCAATCCGGAGGACGAGAAAGCACGCTACTCGGCCAACGTAGACAAAACAATGACCCTCTTGCGATTCGACAGGGAGTCGGACAACAAGACCACGGCCATCCTGACCTTCTTCCCGGTACACGGCACCTCTCTCTACAACAACAACACTCTCACTACAGGCGATAACAAAGGCGCCGCCGCCTGGCTCTTTGAGCGGAGTGTCCAGGACGATGCGAATTTCGCCGACGACTTCGTAGCCGGATTCTCCCAATCCAACGTTGGCGATACGAGCCCCAATGTGCTGGGCGCATGGTGTGAAGATGGATCTGGGCAGATGTGTCGCTACAGCGACAGCACCTGTGGTGGCAAGACCGAGGACTGCCATGGTCGCGGGCCCTTCTTCCGTGAAAAGGATAACGGTGCGAAGAGCTGCTTCGAGATCGGACGACTTCAGTACGCCGCGGCCAAGCAGTTGTATAGCCAGATGGATGCGAGTAATACTCGGATCACTGGAAGCTCTAATGTTCGCTCCTTTCACGCTTACCGCGATCTTGCTGGCTACACATTCCAGTCGCCGTTCGATTCTAGTATGCTGACGACATGCTCGGCGGCACTGGGCTTCTCTTTCGCCGCCGGTACGACTGACGGACCTGGCCTGTTTGATTTCACCCAGAATAGCTCTGGACCTGCAGAGTCCAACCCATTGTGGTATGTCGCTCGGGCTTTTGTTCATCAGCCATCGGCAGAACAAAAGGCGTGCCAGGCGCCCAAGGATATCCTCCTGGACGTGGGAGCCAACACGGAGCCGTATGCGTGGGAGCCGAATATTGTGGACATCCAGGTCCTCCGTGTAGGTCAGCTGTTCCTCATCATCTCTACGAGTGAGGCTACAACCATGTCTGGACGGCGTTGGAAAGAGGCCATTGCAAAGTCAGCCAAAGACGTTCTCTCTATTGCCAGTCCCTTGGTCGTGTTGGGGGCTCCTTCAAACAGCTACGCTCATTACGTTGCGACAGAGGAAGAGTATAGCAGGCAACGCTACGAGGGCGCGTCCACGCTCTACGGGCCGCACACGCTCGCCGCGTACATCAATCTGACCCTGAGCTACCTCCCTTATCTAGGCGATTCGCCCAACCCTGCCAGTTTACCGGAGATGCCCACCGGCTTGCAGCCGCCTATAAACACCGACAAATCACTGAGCTTCATCCCGGGTGTCGTATACGACAATGCTCCCATTGGAAAATCATTTGGTGACGTGGTGACCTCGGTAACCAAGACCACGTACAAGCCTGGCGAGACCGTCAACACGACATTCGTCGGAGCCAATCCGCGAAACAACCTGCGTCAGGGATCTACATTTGCAGCCGTCGAGCGACAGGACTCTTCCTCAGGCACGTGGGAAGTTGTGCGTACTGACAATGACTGGAACCTGCTCTACCATTGGACACGGACCAATACTGTCCTGGGATACAGTGAGGTGACCCTCGAATGGCAGATCGAGGATGACTACTACAACGTCGGCAACCCAAAGCCGCTCCAGGCTGGAACGTATCGCTTCCACTATTATGGCGATGCAAAGAATGTCCAAGGCCAGATCACGTCCTTTGAGGGCATTGGCCAGCCATTCACGGTGACTCTGGGCTGATCATGTTTTATGATGCATGTGAAGGATGAATCATTAGCTTTATCATTAGGTATGAGTTATGAATACGAGTCTATGTTAATCAACGAATCGACGAGGTTATTAATAGGCCAGACTCGCAATCATCTCTCCAATAAGTATCAAAAGCCTTCCATCTTCTACAAATTTAGAGCAGACTCCAAGACAACGATGGGTACCTGTAGAGGTGGCAACGCATAGATCCTCAAAGAAACTTGCTTTCTCTTTATTCCAATAGACAGATCAGAGATCTTTAAATAATCAGGTCTATTTAAAGAGACCCAGCTGAGTCACCGGTGCCAATGGTGCGCTGCAGCCTCTCAGGGTCGGCGGTTGGTGCAACACCTCCAAGCGCTTCTTTGTCGCGCGCCATCCAACCTCGTCTCGACCACCAACCATCTCTCTTTGACATCGACCCTTGAGACAATCAACAAGATCCACAATAATGCATCTAGCCGTGTGTTCTTCAGGCCTGGATTGTCTGTCCCTAGTCATGCCAGACGCTAGCATTCTGCAGCCTAACATAAGGGCTCCTGTCATGAAAGCCTCAATCCTCTTATAACCTCCATTGTCTGCCAGAAGGGATTGTTCCTTGGCTAGTCTATCATTCTACTGATTGTCTGTCGCTTTCTTTATTCTCTTTCTTTTTGTGTCCTCCTGTCCTCCTGTCCACCATAATGCTCAATTAGCACGAGTCGACGTTCCTCGCACGAAACGTCCATCCACTCTTTCGGTCTTCTCATTATTTATCAAGCATACTTTCTTTAGTCCACAGCAGTCCGTCATCGATATTCTCAAATTCTCATTCTCTGATACCGTCGAAATGCAGTTGGTTCACCTCAACATCGCGCTCGCTCTTTTCGCTATAACCTGCTCGGCTGGCCCGATCGCCCAGTTTACACCCAAGATTCGAGATCTGGAACAAAACAGCCATAGCCCTGGACCTACAGTATATCCCAGCCCCTCGCCACTCGATATTCATGTACCAGCGGCTTCGGATGAAGCGAATGGTGGTTTGGATGTTGTTCCCATCACGCCTTCCGTGACGGCGGATGGTACTCAGGCGTCGGTGCTACAGGCTTCGTATACCTCTACTGAGATTCCTGGATCGTCGATGCTTCCGGCTGAGGGGCATTCGGGGACAGTTACTCCATCGGTATCTAAAGAGGTTACGTTGCCTTCGTCTACAGCGGACAGTTCTCGTGCAACAGCGGATAGTGGTACCTCTAGCTCTACTGAGATACCCGCTTCTTCCACACTTGCAAGGGAAAAGCATTCGTCTGCGATCACTTCCTCATCAGCAGAAGCTACTTTACCCTCATCGGAGACATCTGAGGTTGTTATTCCGACCACCTCTTACTCTCATTCGGCGTCCCACTCAGTGTCAACTCCGAGTGTGTCCAAGTCTACAACCTCAACCTCGATCCCTGTTATCAAGCACAGCCAGACGGCAGAACCTTCATCTGAGCTTTCTACAGTTACGCCCCTTTCAATCGTTGTCATTTCACCAAGCTCCGCTCCAGCAAGCACCCCCACCACGACATCCAGCCTGACCGTTGGTGTCGTTGGACCCTTGCCTGATGCCGGGACGACCAGCTCGTCTCCTCCTTCAACTACTTTCTTACCAACGGCTCTGCCAGAAACTGCTTCAACGCCAACGGTGACCAAGACCACGACGTCTAGCGCGACTGCTAGCGTGGTAGGACCGCAACCCGAGACGGATACAACCACCTCTTGTTCCTCTTCAACAGCATCTGCATCCTCTCTACCAGACACTACACCCACAGAGCCAGCAGGCCAAACCCGCAGCACCTCCAGTGCACACCCCACACCCACCACCACACCAAGCACAAGTACAGTCGGAAGGACAAGTACACCTCCAACCTTCAACTCTTCAACACCGGCCCCATCCCCATTCATCGGAGAAATCACAAGCAGTCAGCTCCAGGTCGCTAGCGGTACCGCCAGCGCCGACAGTTACGCCACACCCGTCCTCACTCCAGTAATTGTCCTGGTTACACTGGGCGCAGAACCGACCCCCACGGCAACGACAACGACAACGCAGCCAGACCCAGACCCAAACGCAAAAGCAGATCCAACAAGCACCCCTCCATCTGGCCCAGGCACTGACCCTAACAAAACAGGGGAGATAACCACGCTCCACGCGACAGCAACCATAACCAAGAGCGTGGTCGTGTTTGCTTCCAGCGCTCCTACGGCCGAAGCGCCAGCTCCAGCTGCTGGTGCTGCGGAGACGGAACCGGGATTGGGCTCAAAGGCAACACGTACGGGCACGCCTACGGCTACGACTACAACTACTGTCCCCTTCAGAGATCCGGGGGATGCCCATTTGTCCATTGTGCCTGTTACGCCGGGGGTGATGACGGTGACCACCACCAAGACCGAGACCGAGACCGAGACCGAAACCGTGACTAAAACGGAGAAAGAGACTGTGACTCAGACGGTGACGAAGACGGAGACAGAGACCGAGAGGGAGACTGTCACTTTGCGGGGAAATTAGCTGGTTTATTTCTTTTGTGGCTTTGGGAAAGTTAGAACTGTTAGGAACTGGAGTTTACGGGCGGATGCACTGTACACTGTACCATAAATAATAATTCTAATTTCCTAGATGTAGTCACCAAAATTGGCCATGATAGTTCGTTTGCATTCCGTTATACACAGTATATCCGCCCTGAACACCCGAACAACCCTAGTCTACATTAACCGATAAGGAAGCGATAATCAAAGCTCACTAAACACGCTGAATTTCGCCTGGTAATCCTTCAGACTCGCCCACTGGCGCAGCTCCTCCTCGTCTCGGTCCCGGTCGTTCAAATAACTCATTCTACGTCCGTTGGCGTGGGGGCTTGTCCCCGCCGTGCCCGATGTGGGCGCCGCGAGTCCCTCCAGTCGGATGAGGGTGTCGATGAAGGCGTGTAGATAGGATTCTGCCTCGGCAAGGGTGATGGGGTTGGGGCCTGGCGTGGAGGGTGCAAAGTTGGTCGTCTCGGTCCGTGAGTGGGGGAGGTTGAGCAAGGTTGATGCGACTTGGCGGACTTTACCGGTCTGACGGACGGGTTAGGTATGTTTCAACGAAGGGGGAAAAAGAGCAGATACGTACAAAGCTGGCACCGTTGGGTTCCATATTGACCTCGTTGACCGACCGTAGCAAGACAAACAGATCTCGAACGACGAGACGGCGTTCTTCTGCCATAGCCATCCCAATGTAATCGCTCTGAGCGGCATCGTCGATCCCCTTGTGCGCATTGCCCTCCACTTTCACTGAAGTTCCGGGTCCTCCCTCCTCGGAGGATCGGTGATACATCTTCCAAATGGCGTAGAGACTCCAGTACTTCTCTGCCAAGTAGGATCTGGTGGCTAGTTGGCTCACGTAGATATTGGCCTTCTGGATCTCGTACTGGATATGGCGCCGCTCGCGCATCCAGAGGTCCTCAGCCGCATGCGCGGAATCGTCCCGGTGAGGGTGGAGTGATAGCTCCGGTGGCACGTTGGCCAAAGCCGCTTTGGAATTCTGCAAACATTCGAATAGCAGAGCCCGTTGCCGCTCCCAGTCAACGATTTGTCCGCTGCCGAACGCAACCTCCCAAGCGGACAGGGAGTTGTACGAGTTATAGACCCTGACGTTGGCGTTGAAACCCACCAGCTGCGAAACTCGGTTGGCTGGCTGAGGTTCGACATGCGTTCTGAAAATAAACTCGTCGTCCACTTCAAGGGGTAATGGTGGGTAGCGGTCCGTCGGCGTCTCCGGAGGAAGATACATCGGGGTGTCAGTGGAGCCTAACTGCTGTATTGATCGGTAGCCGGCTAGCGTCACATAGAACAGTCGCCGCGCGAGCTCCTGCTCGATCAGGTCCACTGGGCGCTCAGCTGGACCACTGAGCCGATCCTGTGATATGCCCGACGAAGAAGAAATCGGGCTTGTTGGCCCCAAGGACGCCTGCATGGTCGACTGGCGGCAGAGATCGTACACATGCAACATCGTGCGGCACTCGGCAAGGTAGACCCGACATCGCCGGATGTTGTAGACATATGCCGAGCAGAGACCCAGGAAGTAGCTGATGGCAGCGTCATAGACTGTGGCGCTCCGATCGAGGTACCCGACACCTCGAGCTTGCACAGCAACATCATGACAGCGCTTGACCAAGGCTAGGGAGTGGGGAAAGGCCGCTTTCTCTGCCTCGGTCTTGAGATGAAGCTTTGGTCTCCTCGGGAAGGATGCCACCAGGCTCCCGATCATCGAGGCCAGGAGGGCCAGGAATGTCGGATTGGTGGTGTCCTCCCGTCGCTCAAAGGCGACGCGGAATGAGGGCTCATGAGGGATGGGGACCAATGGATGAATATACGTAAAGAAATCATCGACCAACAGCCGCGCTGTGGACAAAGGGCAGATGGATTCTACCGAAGATGGAATTGAAGTGGATGCGAGATTCTGGTTAACTGCGGATATCGGTGGAAGCGTCGGAGAAAAATCTGACGGACTGGGAGAGATTGAGGTAGTAGGAGCACTAGGTGAAGTTCCTAGTCTCTGTCTCTTCAGCGCCTCGGCATGACGATTCGGAGGGCCACGACGTCTGCTTGGTCTGTCATAGGTACAGGGGATGTCCAGGCTTGCACATGACCGACAGGGTGGTCCACTTGTATCACACTTTAGCCGATAAGATTAGCCTGGCGGTCCTAATTAAGATCAGATCTATGAAGATCTGAACTCGGCAAGAGGAGTACTTTCCTTAACCTTGCGTATACTACAAGCATCACATGCTTTTCGGAGTCTGGTTTTGTTGTCCATTGGCACTTCCGAGTGATTCCCTTACCATTTCCATGCCTCAGGCCGGAATCATCGGGGATTCAGGCACTCAATCCTGATGACAGCCGCTATGATGCCAACAGATCTCCGGAAGCCTTTCTCCGCAAGAGAGGTGATGCTCCTAATGGATCAATGATCCGGGGAACCGACAATTGTCGAATGACAACGACGACGTTCAAGGTATGGCCTCGAGATCCCCCTATATCTAGTGCCCGAGGATCCCAAAAGACGAATACAAAGCTACCCCACCACGCGAGTCACTGTCGGACGAAAGGTGAAAGATGGCACAGTGAGGATGAAATAATCAAAGATGAAGACAAGAGCCATCCACACGTAGAAGCGATGGTTTTGCCTTCTAAAGTTCGACGTTGCAATCCGAGACTCGGGGAGGTGATGAAACAGCTACCCCGAAAGTGGCGGGGATATCGGTATTGTACAATGAGGCACTTCGGCAATGCAAACAGTTACAGACTAGATACTGACTGGTCTGGATCTCGCATCAAGGCTTGGCGAGTAATGCTTGCAAGTACCTGTAAAGGCGACGGCATTCAAATAGTCTATCAAATGCCGAGCCGCTGGTCTGGAGACTTCGTGAATGTTACTGTTTCACCTCAGCACCCGTCACGTGACGCGTACCCCCTTTACTGGAGTCAAGTCCAAATAAACTTTCAATTATTAGACTACTGAGGAGACAAGACGACATCGTCAGGCCTGAACCTCCGAAGAGTCGACCAGAAGCTGGGGACGAGGATTCGACCAGACTCGCCAGAACAAAGAACTATCAAAGCCACAGGACCGTCCTTGGATGCCCGATTTAAGAAGGGAACTCCTCATTAATGCAAGTCACTAACGGCACATCGTGTTTCAAACTCGGCCAAACCAGTGGTATAAGGCCAAACAGGTGAAGGGTTTAGATTATATTGTCATCGTCATCATCATGATACTCATTAGTCATGCCGTCATGTCGTCCTCGTAAAGCATCACGTTTGTTCTCAATGTCTCTTACCCAGAGGGCAGACCCGGCCGCAGTTGACATGAGGAAGAACATAGATAAGGCAGGAATCAGCTGTAGAAGCAGAGCAACCGTTCCGAATCTGTGCCCACAAATCAGAAAATGACTGGCCGAACAGATCAATGCGCAAGACGAGATACATACGTAGTGTATTGAAGCTGCCGTCGACGGATCCTTTCCTTCCTTTGTTTCTTCGACAGATCTAGCATTTGGAAATACCGCCAGTGATGAAATGGGCCCCCGCGATAACCGGTCAACAACAAGAACATCGGCGTGCCTGCGACGGGGATGAAGTTCAAGGGCAGCAAGACTATAAACTCGATGATCTGCCGCAGAGAAAATGGCGAATACACCGCGCTGTGGGTCGGTTTACCCAGCCGCTTGATAACGTCGTCGCCCTGGGGATACAGGACCCTACAAGCGGTGACGAGCTCGCCATGGCCCTCGTTGACAAGAACAGCATCAAAGATGTCCACCAAGGTCTCGTCGACAAAAAATGCCTCAAACAGTAGCGCTACGATGGCCGCTCCTTCTCCAAGAACAAGAAATGCACCATTGACCCAAGCACCGGCGCCTTGGAAGATGGCGAGAAAGGCAACTTGTGGCAGATATGTGAAAAGAAAGAGGATTAAGTAGATAAATGTAGAAAGCAGGACGATAGATATCAAGCGCGCCCGAAACAGTGGCCAAAGAAATCGGTGCGACGCAAAGTAGTAAATCCCCTACGTGATGTTCATGAAGCGGTCAGCGAATATACAGGCAACAAGATTAGTAGGATAAACGTACACGCAAAGGATATAACCAAGCAGCTTTGCTGGGATCCCACAGCCCGTTCATTTCCGTCCCAGCCAAGGCAAAGCTACATCAACACCCTAGTATGTCAATCTCGTTGTGTTCATAGTTGAAAGAGTGATGTGATGATGCTCTCAAGGCGGTCACATTCAAACATGCCAAGAGAGCCATCCTTATCGATAAGCAGTAGTACCATATAAAACCAGAAATTTCTTCCCGCAACTCGACCTTTTTTCTTCTTTTCTCTTTCATACCAAACTGATCATCCTCCTTATTCACTCTGATATCCACATTTCTCAATGGATCCTGGAGGGGAAATAGGAGGTCAGATGAACGATTGCTGACTTACCCCAAATCCTTCTTACTTTTGTGGAGCGTTTGGAAATATTGACAGCGTACATCACTTTTCTGTATTGCTGGACTGGCCTCTGGGTTCATATAAAATGGACCAAAGGACAATTCGCCTGCACATTGCTGCATAAGTAGAGCAGGCTCATGATTTCCCGCTATAGATCTTATAATGTCTGCTAACAAAGTCTACGACTTGGCCAAGGTCGCTCACTACGGCGTTGGCTCTAATTCACTGCTCTGTCTGTCCCACCGCGACAACTGCGGTCTACATGGACGGCGTTCATGCCTACGCTCAGAGCTCCTGTGACATCAAAAGCATTTCCGCCGACCAACCATACGCCTTCCCATGCATTAGATTTTCAGCCTTCTCCGCCGAGAGAAGGTAGACCGCCCAATATCATCTTTAGAGATAATATCCCGGATACTTCTGCGTGGATTGCAAGGTCTTTCGAGCGCAGAATCGCGTTGAAAATCTCTGAATGGGTGCCGGGCGACCACCTTCATATTCGGGACCGCCCTTCGTTCACTTACGGAAAGGTGACCATGTTACCGTGGGCATTCATCAAGTTTGTGAGATCTGTACTGGCCTATGTGCGTATTGTCTCTGCAAGGGATTGCAAAAAGGGCGTTTCGTGTGACTTTCACGTAGGATATAAAGTGTCGTGGGTGATCAGTCAGAGACGATAGGTAACTCAATGTAATAGCGGCTATATCCGAGAGAGGTTACCCATGCTGCTCAGTCCCAGGCATATTCAACTCGAAATGTTCTCCAGGTTTTCGCAATTCTTTGTGCCATAGTTTCGTCGAAATATAGCTCCAGCTGCTTGCCGATGGTGTCGGGGGAGAAGACTGCCATAGATATCGAGAGCTATCACAATTTCTCTAGACATTGTTCCAGGGATCAAATAAGTTGGCTTACAGTATATAAATCAAATGATAGTCAAGAGGTCAATAGCAGAGATGCACCGGCTAAAAGCTCCTTTAAGATAACCGCCTCAAACATCGTAGGCAACAACACCAGTGATGATGTCAATTCTCGATAAGCATGGCGGTGATGGTTCGTGTTTCCACCACCTTCAACCCCGAGCCATCGCGCCTTGCCAGAACTACGACAGACTCAGCATCAGTCCATGCGACTCGATGACCTCGCGTGGAACCAGCGAGGGGAGCAATTACGAGGTTTTTCGGGAATGTCTCTCCAGCGCAATCGTGCAAAGATCCGATAATGGCAGACGCAACCGGCCATCCAAGCGAAAAGCGCAGAAATCCAAACGCGGCACTAGGAAACTTGCTACTGATGAAGCTGGGACGGATACCACGGATTCCGATTCCTCATCTCTACCATCTCGGGTGAATCCAGAAGAGCTAGCCGAGTTCATCGATGTACGAACCCCTCCTTACAGGACCACGAGGGTATAGAGGTATACTGAACCAACGCTACAGTTCCTCGCATCAGAAACCTTCCCCTCACTACCAACAGACCTCCAAACCCTCTCCTACTCATCCATCCAGCACGACCCCGTCCTCGCAGACAAATACGCCTCCTCCCCGCTCCCCCGCTCCCTCGAGTCTATAACAGCTACCGTCCCCGTCGCAGTCTCCGACTCGCTATCCGTCTACGGACTCGTCCCTGATCCCTCTGACGTCCCCGATTTCTTCGCCCCAGTGCTGAGCGAGTACGTCGCCAGCGTGACCGCCGCGCCGCCGGTATGGGCGACGACGCGCACCGACGCCTGCGAGATCTGCGAGCGCGACTGGATCCCCCTCTCGTATCACCATCTGATTCCGCGCGGGGTGCATGCAAAGGTGCTCAAGAAGGGGTGGCATGAGGAGTGGATGCTGAATAGTGTGGCGTGGCTGTGTCGGGCGTGCCATAGTTTTGTGCATCGGATGGCGAGTAACGAGGAGCTGGCGAGAGAGTACTATACCGTTGAGAGGATAATGGAGAGGGAGGACGTGCAGGATTGGGCGAAGTGGGTGGGAAGGGTGAGGTGGAAGGCGAGGTGAATGCATTGCGTCTAGCTTGAGTTTTGGGATCATGCAATTGTTCCTTGAGATTAGATTTAGAGAACGTAGTTCTGTCATGAATAGTCTATGTAGATAATGATATCCTATTGTACATGAGATGCAAATCTCCAGGTATATGCGACTTTTCCCAAACCCGTGTATATCTATCATGTCAATTTGCACAAGAGAAGAGAAGGCATTCAACCAGGTAAGAATACAGTAACCTGCCAGACGAGGTTACAGAAGAGCAAGTCATCTTGGTAATCGAGATAGAGAAAAGTTTAAAGGTATCTCTTCTCATAGATCTCTTCGTAGCATTGGATGTGATCACCAACAGCAAAGTCGGTCCAGCCTTCGAAGCCGATACCACATTCCGTGTCTTTGCGCATTTCGGTCACGTCCTTCTTGACGTTCTTCAGCGATGCAATCGTGCCTGTACATTCAGTCAGTCATTTCTGCCTTAAGTGTGAAGTCCCCAAAAGAATAAAGCATACCGTCATAGATCGTGTCCTGTCCCCTCAACACTCGAACCTTCCTGGCCCGGTGAATCACACCATTACGGACTTTGCATCCCGCAATAGCAACCTTTTCTCTTCCCTTCAGGGTGATCTCGAAGATCTGACCGACTTCTGCTTCACCCGTGACACGCTGTGAGACCGATGGCGCCAGGTGCTCACTGAGCGCCGCCTTGACTTCATCCATGAGCTTGTAGATAATGTTGTGATTCATGATTCTGACCCCCCGCAGTTCCGCCATCCGGGACATGGCAGGGTCGATCGGCATATTGAAAGAGATGATGTTGCCGCTTGCGGTGGCCGCATGCTCAATGTCAAACTCACTGATGGGCCCAACCTCGGAGCGAAGCACATTGGCGTAGACCTCGTTGTTGCCAATGGCCGTCACCGAATTTAGCACCGCCTCGGCAGAACCGCCAACATCGGCCTTGATGATGAAATGCACCGGTTTGGGTCCGGATGCATCCTCGTCAGCAGAAGCTTCCGCCCCCTCGTTCTCCTCTTGCCGTCGCTTTTCCTGCTGTTCTCGACGTGCTTCGTTGATGGCCGATGTGTCCTCACTCAATCTCTGCGTCTCCGACTTCTCCTGGCGATACTCCACGACGTCCTTGGCATGCTGCTCGTCTTCCGCCTGGAGAATCTCGGTACCGGCAGTGGGCTGCTCCCTCCAGCCATCAATTTCCACCGGCATGCCGGGAGTAGCTTCGGAGACGGCGACACCGGCTTCATTGCGAAGCGTGCGAACACGAGCCCACGTTGTACCAGCAACGATGATATCTCCCGGTCGCAGGGTACCACGTCTGATGAGAGCCGTCGCAACACGTCCATAGCTCTTCGTTGTAGCTTCAATCACCCAGCCTTCCACCGCCCCAGCTTTGTCGGCTCGGTGGTCTAGAACTTCCGAGAGGGTGACGATAGCCTCCTCGAGTTCCAACATGCCCTGGCCGGTTTTTCCGCTCACCCCGATAGCCTGGACATCGCCCCCGTAGTCTTCCACATGGACACCATGCACCGAGAGGTCTTGCTTGACCTTTTCTGGGTTGATGCCCTCTCTGTCGATTTTGCTGATAGCGACAATGATGGGAACGTTGGATTGGGTGGCGTGCTTAATGGCCTCAATAGTCTGCGGTTTGACACTGTCGTCCGCAGCAACCACCAGCACGACAATGTCGGTTACATTCGCACCGCGACGCCGCATATCCAAGAACGCTGCGTGCCCAGGTGTGTCCAAGAAGGTGATAGTCTTGCCCGAAGGCATAGCTACGGAGAATGCACCGATGTGTTGTGTGATACCCCCGTGCTCCGATGCGGCGACCGACGACTTTCGGAGCCAGTCCAGAATAGTGGTCTTGCCATGATCGACGTGACCCATAATCGTCACTACCGGTGGCCTAGGCGGCAATGCGGACTTGTCTTCTGGCTCTGGAGCAGCAACCAGGTCCTGATCATCGGTCTCGAAGATAGGCTCGAAGTTGTACTCGCTCGCGATCAAGCCTGCCGTTTCAGCATCAAGAATATGGCTGTACGAGACATCTTCAAATCCCATTTCTTCCATCCTCCGAATGAATTGTGCCGGCCGCACACCAATGACATCAGCGAGGTTGCTGACGCTGATGAATTCCGGAAGGTAAAGAGGACTGGGAGCCGCCGCCTCGAGCTCCTTCTGCCGGGCCTTCTCTTTCTTCTGGCGCTTACGTTCCTGGCGGCGACGGCGGCGGTCGTCTTCTGGGTCAAATTCTTCGTCGTCAATATCATCTCCTCGTTCCTTGCGCCCTTCCCACCGCTTGGGCCTTTGCCCACTTTGAGCCTCTGCTTCATATGTCTGTTGAAGTTTTTCCAGGGCTGACTGGTCCCATGTCCATGGGTCTGCCTCCGGTTTGGATGATTTGCGAACTGCTCCAGAAGCTTGGCGGTCGGCACCGCGGGTTTCTGAAACCTGACCCCTAGCATTCGACCGTCGCTGTTCGGCCATTGACTGCCTCTCTGATTCAGTTGATGCAGGTGGAGATTCGGTCTTGCGTCCTGTCTTCACGAGGTAGTCCTCAAGCGCGATGTGTTTCAAACCTCCGCCCTTTTGGCTTAATTCCCCTAGACGGCGTCCAGAGTTTTGGTTTTCATATTCCGACCGCAATGACTGGCCCAGCCTCTGAATCTTTAAGGCGTTCTGCTCTTGTTTTATCTGACGAGGCGACTCCGGGGCGTCCAATTTCGGTTTTGGGGTATTACAGCGTGGACAGGTGCTGCTTCTCCCGAAACAATGGTACCGGCATCGTGGGCATTCCCAATCCTTCCCTCGAAGCTTTTTCGCTGGTCTGCCCGAAGTCACATCAACATTTTTCTCTGGTTGCCGCTCCCGTAACGAAGCGGAGGATCGCCTCGTTCCAGAAGCATCGAGCACTCGTAACAAATCGTCCGCCCTTTCAAGTAGCGCAGGCCTCTGCGGTCGTTGTTTCTCCACCTCCTTCTCATTCGCGGCGGTTTCCTTCCTTGCTACTAATGAATCGCGAAGCGCTTGTTCTGCCGGACTCAATGTGGCCGGTTTAAGCGCCTGCTTAGCTCCCCAGCGACCACCAATTTTCGAACCTCCCCATGCTGGACGGGATACCGACCCATCTTCGTTAGGATTCGCTGGCTCGGATGACGATTCAAGGATCGCTAGGGACGAACGAAAGCTCCGTCGGGGAACATAGGCTGGTATCGGAGCAGAAGCAGATTTCCTGGACCTGGCTGGGCACGACCATTCGGGCCCGTGACGGCGAGAGAGCTGTGATGTTTCTTGATGAGAATCAAAATCGAGGACTGCAGTCAAGATCACTTACCTCTATGACTAACCTCCTATGCATAATTCGATGGAAGAGATCACACCCTCTCTCTCTCTCTCCAGCACTGCTATGATAGTCGGAGCGTTTCCCTCAGATGGTTAAATTTCCTGACGATACGCGATTACATACCCGGTAAATTAAATACGCGTTTCCAGATGGGGTTTCCCGCGCACGAGGTCACGTGCGTCGGCGCAGCTGCCGAATCGGAGACGAAGATTTGGATGGCTGCAGTGGAGAGATTCCACCATTCCGCCCCGATAAGTGGTGCTAGGATCTTTTATATCCCTTGAGAGATTCCTCTGGTCCTCCGGGGAAGTGAGTCAAATCCTCTATCTTCGCGCCGAACCATCTTGTGGCAGATAAACCCGCGCCAATTGCCGCAGAGTCTTATCGCAGATCAACTGGGGTCAATTGTTACGCCAAGATGGAGTCGGAGGCTTTTGAGGACATGCAAAAGGGCGGAGGAGCTCTGCGCACCCTCAAGGATCTGGCTGCTGGTGCTGCGGGCGGCATTGCACAGGTGCTTCTTGGTATGTAGCTATCGATCGTTAATCCTAGTCAACTGTATGCGCTTGCGATACTAACGGCTTGTAGGACAGCCTTTTGGTGGGTGAACCAGAGACTCACAGATAGAGTCAAACCTTGGTTAACACTTGTCAGATATTGTCAAGGTGCGGTTACAGACGACGTCAGAGTACAAAAGCGCTCTTGACTGCGCCACGAGAATCTTCAAGAATGAGGGACCCTTGGCTTTCTACAAGGGGACTTTGACCCCACTCATTGGTATCGGTGCTTGTGTAAGATTCCACTCCTTGACATTTGCTGGCAAGAAGAACTCATATCCTGCAGGTCAGCGTACAATTCGGTGCGTTTCATGAAGCCAGAAGACGGCTGGAGGAACTCAACAAGAAGAAGTATGCCGATCCGACTCTCTCCTACGGCCAGTACTATCTGGCCGGAAGTTTCGCGGGTCTCACCAACTCCGCCCTCTCGGGCCCCATTGAGCACGTCCGTATCCGCCTGCAGACGCAGCCTCACGGCGAGGGCCGCTTATACAGCGGACCGCTCGACTGCATCCGGAAACTCGTTGCTCAGGGAGGCGTGCTGCGCGGCCTCTACAGGGGCCAGAACGTCACGTATCTCAGAGAAGCCCAGGCCTACGGTACCTGGTTTCTGACCTTCGAGTACCTGATGAACCAGGACGCCAAGCGCAACAACATCAAGCGCGAGGAGATCTCCAGCATCAAGGTCGCGACCTACGGCGGTCTTGCCGGTGAGGTGCTGTGGCTGAGCAGCTACCCCTTCGACGTGGTCAAGAGTAAGATGCAGTGCGATGGCTTCGGTGCGCAGCAACAATTCAAGAGCATGACCGATTGTTTCAAGAAGACTTTTGCTGCGGAGGGCTTTGGCGGCTTCTGGAAGGGCCTGGGGCCGACTCTGCTGAGAGCTATGCCCGTGTCTGCGGGTACCTTTGCTGTGTACGTTCCCTCTTACGTCGTCGATATGATTTTTGTGCTGACTTGTTACAGTGTCGAGCTCACCATGAGAGCATTGGGCTAGACATGCCTGCTTAGTCGTCTGTTTTGCCATTGTTTCTTCCTGTTAGATATCCAGATCTCGTTCATTTCAACATGAGATTGAAGGAAAAGTTTCATGAGGCAGA